CTCCCAGGCCTTGAGTTCAATCCTCAGGACTGGCCAAAAAAAAGTGTTTAATGGGCTGGGAGGGTGGCTCAGTGGTAGAGAGCTTGCCTTACATGCTCAAGGCCCTGGGTTCGATTCCTCAGCACCACATAAGAAAAAAGAAAAAAGCCGGAAGTGGTGCTGTGGCTCAAGTGGTAGAGCGCTAGCCTTGAGCTGAAGAGCTGAGGGACAGCGCCCAGGCCCAGAGTTCAGGCCCCACAACCGGACCCAAAAAAACAAAACAAAACAAAAAAAAGTGTTTAATATGTACTTTTCATCAGAGTAGAGACAACATAATCTGCAGACCATAAACTGGATTCCATCAGCTTCTTAAAGAAGACCCTTTACATCTGGTATTTATAAAGCAGAGGAATTGTACAATATACTCCTTTAGGCTGTTCTAAGAGTTGCATGAAAAAACATTGGGCAAGCAACAAGTGCCTACATTTTGACAAATATAAAGTACTAAAAAATGTTGAACAAGCCAGATACCTAAGGCTCATATCTGTATACCTGGCTACTCAGGAGACTGAGACCTAGATCCAGATGATCAAGCTTTGAAGTCCACCAAGGCAGAAAAATCTGAGAGACTCCATCTCCGATTAACCAACAAAATGCCAAACTGGAGAAATGGCTCAAATGGTAGAGGACTAGCCACTAGAAAGAAAGCTGAAAGAGAGTGCAAGACCCCTGAGTTCAAGTCCTGGTACACCCCTCACACACACACACACACACACACACATACACATACACAATGTGAAACAAACAAGGCTCTAAAGGTACCAAGTAACCTGTGGGTTACTTAAGCTGAATTGTACCTTAAGGCTACTACATAGACTGATAAAGCTCTATTAATATAGTTCTGAGGGAGGGAAGTTACTATTATGCTTAATCTAATTCTCAGTTTTCCATCTGAGCAGGAAAGCTGGAAGAAAGCATATATACCAACATTATGAGGGGCCTTAATGTCTCTAGAAGTCCTATTACTGTTCTCTAGTCCATCTACCTGCATTCCCTAGATAAGTTTTCTTTTTGTTTGTTTGTGGTCAGTCCTGGAGCTTTTTTTGGGGGGGGGGTGGTCAGGCTGTGGGGCCTGAACTCTGGGCCTGGGCACTGTCCCTTAGCTCTTCAGCTCAAGGCTAGCGCTCTACCACTTCAGCCACAGCGCCACTTCTGGCTTTTTTCTTTTTGCTTATGTGGTGCTGAAGAATCGAACCCAGGGCCTCATGCATGCAAGGCGAGCACTCTACTGCTGAGCCACCTTCTCAGCCCCTCCTAAAGCTTTTTTGTTTAAAGCTAGTTCTCTACCACTTGAGGCTCAGTTCCATTTTAGCTTTTTGGTGGTTAATTGGAATGAAGAGTTTCATGGTCTTTCCTCCACACAGCTGGCTTCAAACTGTGATCCTCAAATTTCAGCTACCTGAATAGCTAAGATTACAGGTGTGAGCCAGTCACTGGTGCCCAGCCTGTTTGTTTTGTTTTGTTTTCTCCAGTATCAGGGATTGAATCTGAGCTCAGGATCTGTGCCTATTCAGCTTGCTTGCTCTACCATTAAAGCCAGACCTTCAGCCTAGATGAGTACTTTATAACTTCCTTTTTCCTTTAATATCTCTTCATGCATCCTCTTGATGATCTTGTTACCTCTTTTACTTTAAAAAACAGAAGCTATGAACTGCCACTCCTCTGTACAATACCTTTATAATAACAATAAAAAATTAGCAGTGAAGACAAAAAACAGAAATATGCTTGTGACAGTGGCTCAAGCTCGTAATCCTAGCTATTTAGGAGGCTGAAATCTTGAGGATCATTAACCAAAACCAACCCAGGCAAAAAAAATCTGCAATACTCCATCTCACAAAATAACCAACAAAAACCAGGGCTGGAAGCATGACTTAAGTGATAGAGTGCTGCCAGTCAAGCAAGTGGGCAAGTTTGAAGCTTTGAGTTTAAACCTCAGGACCATAGAACAACAACAAAAACAACAAACACCAGAAGTTATTAGACAAAACCTTCCAAATATTTCCATCTGCTGGTAACTGGGTCTGCATGCTTTGGCTTTCTTGCACTTACTGTAGATGATGTAGTCGAGCTCCTACTGAAGGTCTCCCTTCTGTTTATGTACAAGTTCTCACCTCCTCTCTCCTTCCTTACATGCGCTCTTCCTTTTTCTACAGTTCTCCTTTCACTATTGGATCATTTGCAAGGACAGAAACATTCTATAACTTGTCATCTTAAATAAAATCTTTTTGTGACCTCCATATCACCTTCTTTGGAATTCCTTCTATATTTGCTGTTTCAATTCCTTCCCTTCTTTTCTCTCTTGAACTCAGTCTAATCAGAATCCTGCTGTCTTTCTCTACTGTAACATTTCTTGTCATTGTCACTAGTGATCTCCACATAGTAAAACTTAATAACCAATCTCTATCTCTACCTGTATTGGTTTCCTGTAGACTATGACACCAACATTCTCTTATCCTTGAAATATTTTCTTCATGGAAGTGGTGCTGTAGCTCAAGTGGTAGAGCGCTCGCTTTCAGCTGAAGAGCTGAAGGACAGTGCCCAGGCCCAGAGTTCAAGCCCCATGACCGACAAAAAAAAAAAAGGGGGCTGGAAAGGTGGCTCAGTGGTAGAGTGCTTGCCTTGCATGCCTGAGGCCCTGGGTTTGATTCCTCAGCACCACATAAGCAAAAAGAAAAAAGCCGGAAGTGGCGCTGTGGCTCAAGTGGTAGAGCGTTAGCCTTGAGCTGAAGAGCTGAGGGACAGCGCCCAGGCCCAGAGTTCAGGCCCCACAACCGGACCCAAAAAAAAAAATTTTAAAAAAGAAATATTTTCTTCACATAGTTTCTTATTACTATGATCTCTTAGCTTCTCTCTTATTTGTTTTTATTTCTTTATTTCTGCAACTTTAACTGCAGAAATGCCCCAGGATTTGATCTTCTCTATTTGAACATACTCCCAGTCTCACGGCTATAAATGCTACCCATATAACTCCCTAGTTTTTATTTCTAGCCTAGGCCCTTCTTATAAAAATATCTCTTGGATAATTAATAGGCATTTCAAAATTTAAAAATGACAAAATTAGCTCCTGATCCCTGTTCCTTCTGCTGTCTTCTCAGGAAATGGCAGCTGCACTTTTTGTTTTCAGTTCCTTAGGCCAATCTTCTTCCTCAGGAGGCATCCTTGACTCCTCTCTTTGTCATGATACCACTTATCCAGTTAAACATATCATATTGGTCGTAGTTCAAAAGTACATATAGAGGAGCTGGGAAGGTGGCTCAGTGGTAGAGCATTTGCCTTGCATGCATGAGGCCCTGGGTTCGATTCCTCAGCACCACATAAGCAAAAAGCCGGAAGTGGCGCTGTGGCTCAAGTGGTAGAGCGTTAGCCTTGAGCTGAAGAGCTGAGGGACAGCGCCCAGGCCCAGAGTTCAGGCCCCACGACCGGACCCAAAAAAAAAAAAAGTACATATAGAATTTAAACACCTTCTATTTCACTGCCATCTTGCTGATGCAAGCTACCATCATCTCTTGCTTGGTTTTCTGCATACTTCTTAAAAGGCTTTCTCCTTCATGTTCCTTTTATGTCAATTACAGGACTTCATTGATTTTTCATCTTACTTGTTTAATACAAGCCAAACTCTTTAAGAAGACTACCAAAGTCCTACATAATCTGCTCCTAACCAGTTAGCTCAGATTTAATCTCCACCCATCTTTCCTTCCTTTCTCTACTTTCTTGATGTTCCTCCAACAGGCTAATGAAGCCACCACCCAGGGCCTGTGAAAGCTCTTGCAACCAGTACTTACAACCTTTACTCCTTCATCTCCTTCAGCTCTTTGCTCAAATACCATGTTACAGAGAGGCTCTTCTTAACCACTCCATGTAAAACTGCCTCTTGCCCATCTCACCCATGTAAAAGTGCCTCTTACCCATCTCACCCAGCACTCACCTCCTCTCTTCCCTTTCCTACAACACTTTTTTTTTCTTTTGGTCAGTCGTGGGGCTTGAACTCTGGGCTTGGGCGCTGTCCTTGCACTCTTCAAGATAAGCGCTCTATCACTTGAGCCACAGCGCCACTTCCTATTTTGTAGTGGTTTATTGGAGATAAGAGTCCCAGGGACTTTCCTGCCTGGGCTGGCTTTGAACCTTGATCCTCAGATCTCAGCCTCCTGAGTAGCTAGGATATCAGATGTGAGCCACTGGCACCCGGCTCACTTTTTTTTTTTGTCGGTCATGGTGCTTGAACTCTGGGCCTGGACACTATTCCTCAGCTCTTCAGTTCAAAGCTAGCGCTCTACCACTTGAGCCACAGTGCCATTTCTGGTTTTCTGGTGCTTTATTGAGATAACAGTCTCACAGACTTTCCTGCCCAGGCTGGCTTTGAACCTTGATCCTTAGATCTCAACCTCCTACTCAGCTAAGATTATAGGAATGAGCCACTGGCACCCAGCTTCCTACAACACTTTTTCACCTGGCACCATGGTTATTTTATTCATCCATTTGTCTGAATATGTACTAAAACAGGCTCTTTTCTATTTTGACTTATAACTTTTTTTTTGTCAGCCATAGGGCTTGAACTCAGAGCCTGAGCTCTTTTGCTCAAGGCTAGCACTCTACCACTTTGAGCTATATCCACTTTCAGTTTTTGAGTAGTTAATTGGAGACAAGAGTCTCATGAGGACTTTCGTTCCCCAGGCTGGTTTCGAACCATGATTCTCAGATCTCAGTCTCCTGAGTAACTAGGATTACAGGCCTGAGCCACCAGTGCCTGGCTTGTTTAATGAATTTTGATTATTTTTCTTCTGGTCCTGATCTCAAGATCTACTTCTTTTTAAAAAAAGAAAAGAAAAGAGAGAGAGAGAGGAAGGAAAAAAAGAAGAGATGAAGGAATATATCTAAGAGAGCTAGAACATACCTAAGAGGCCTAAAGGGATGGCCCCTTAAACCTTCTATAAATATCTAACATTCTGATTCCTTTCCCTCAGCTCAACACTGAAACATCCCCGGCAACTAACCAGGCATCTGGCTCAGAAGAAAAAGGTGAGTGTTGTTGGGTTGTAGAGTTTGTAGAGCTGGTGAAAGTAGGGTCAGGAACACAAGTAAGATTGTAAGTATACAAGTTCCTAAGACAGATGTCAGAGGAATAAGAGTATGTAAAAATGAAACAAAGGACTAGGTTAAGAACTATTATATCTTTAGGCTTTCCCCACTTTTCCCTAAGGAATAATACTAACAGTATTACCTCTTTGATTTTACAAACTAGGTCAGGAGTGATTAAGAAATGCAAATACAGGGCTGGGAAGGTGGCTCAGTGGTAGAGCGCTTGCCTTGCAAGCCAGAGGCCCTGGGTTCGATTCCTCAGCACCACATAAGCAAAAGGAAAAAAGCCGGAAGTGGCGCTGTGGCTCAAGTGGTAGAGTGTTAGCCTTGAGCACAGAGAGGCTCAGGGACAGTGTCCAGGCCCTGAGTTCAAACCCCCAGGATTGGCAAAACAAAAAACAAAAAAAAAAATTCACTGTATTTGCGGCCCGGAGGAAGGGTCTAGAGGAGACTCAGTAATATCTTTTTAATTTGTCTGCAGGGAAGGCTGGTAGCACCAAGAAAGCCGAGGAAGAGGAGGAGATCGATATTGACCTAACAGCACCAGAAACTGAGAAAGCTGCCCTGGCCATTCAGGGCAAGTTCCGGCGATTCCAGAAAAGGAAAAAAGATCCCAGCTCATGAATGGCTAGCCTTGTCCTTCACCCTGCTACCTTCTTTCCCTTTCTCCACAGCCCTGACTCTTATATATCTTGTCCCTTGGTCTGGTTAACTTCTCATTGAGGCAATTTCAACCTTTATATATTCTTTTTTCTCACCCTGTCACAGCAGGAGCATGGAGAAGATGAAGTCTTTAGTTGACAGCCACCTGCCTAAGGGTGGATCCGTTTCTCCTTGAACTAAGGCTCTGGATCAGTACCCATGCCTTCCCTGTGTGCTCAGAGAACAAAAGGCTTCAGTTTGAGAGGACATTCCCCAACCATGTGTGAAGGAGAGAAGTCTTCAGAGTAGGGTGCTGGATGGGGGGGGTGAGAAATGAACTATTAAGCCCTTTATAACTGCTACACTTTAATGTTTCATTCTTTCCCTATCACCATTTCCAACCTCTCTCCTGTGAAGCCACCTTGGTACTGGAGCCTCCCCCCTCTCCCCCCCCCCCCAGGCAGAGCTAAATCAAGTAGCTTACCACATTAGTGCATGCTCAGTAGGTTAGTTCCTAGGAAGGAAGATTAAGACTGGGGCAGGCAGAAGTTTCCTTTATCATGTAGTCTAGGACTAGATGACAGCCTATGGGGCCATACACAGGTGAGTGAAGGCTAAGGGAGATTTAGGGAGGAAAGAAAAGTAAAGAAGGGGAATATCTCCCAAGCTGTAAGTTACTCCTGGTAGATTTGTACTACATGAAGGAGCTTTGCTAACCTGCCTACCTCTAACTCCCCACTCCCCCAACTGTAGCCATCCCCAGAGACCACATGAGCCAAGTGAATCCCTGTAGTTTCCACCTGTCTCATTGTGGAGTCAGAGCAGAAATGGAATAGCTACTCTGTAATTTTAGCATGTTTGATAATAATAATAATAATAAAAACTCCTCATACGGGAACATATGAAACTCTACTATTGTTGTATTCTTGGGAGGAACATGAATATAAGCCTGAGCTGCCCCTAGGGAGCAATTGCATGGATTACATAGTAGTGCAGGAAGCTAAAACTGCCTAAGTAATTTTCATTTGGAGCCAATCTTACCTCCCTTCTGACCTTGCCTTACCTTGATGTGCTGCATACATGTGGCTCTCTGTTGTCACCACCTTCAGTGTGCACCTGCAAGGGTGATTATCTTCCTGTTCTTCTGTCAGCAAAGATCATATTTTGTATGTATCCTGCTGAAAACAAACCTAGTCTTTGCTTCCTATTCCCAAATGACCTACCCTAGATTTCCCTCCCGTTTGTTTTCCTCCTACATCTTCACCTCCCCTCCTACCTTCCCTCTCTCCTTCCTTTTCTTCCCTCCCCTTCCGTGTTTACCCAATTTGAAAAAGAGAGCACCACAATTACACTGAAGTTTTAAAATCTCAAAGTAAATAAAATTATGGGATTCCAGAGAACTTGCATTGTTGAGAAGTGATCTCCATTCATGGAAATCACAGGCAAATCACTGAAGATTGACCCAAGAATGATCTAATTTTGATACTCTCCTTACCCTCCCCCTTCCTTTTTTTCAGTTTTGTTTGTTTCTGAGACAGGTTTTCATTTGTAGCTTAAGCTGGCTTGGAACTCACTATCCTCCTGCCTGTCTCTTGAGTGCTGGGATTATAGGCATCAATTTTTCACTATGGTAAAATATGTATAACAAAATTATCATCTTACTCACTTTAGTTTATACAGTTCAGTGTTATATAGTATTAAGTATAGTCATAATGTGCAATCATCACCATTGTCTGTTTCCATAACACCTTTCATATTGTAAAAGTGAAGCTTCATACTTTTAAAATAATAGCTCCCATCCCCTCATTTCCCAGCCCCTGAAAACCACTGTTTTACCTTCCACTTTATAATTTTTCCTTACTTTTTAGTATTTTAGTATTTAGCCTTCCCTTCTTGACACAAGAAATCTAGAAATCGCTGAGCACTGGTATCTCGTGCCTGTAATGTTAGCTAGTCAGAAAACTGGGATCTGAGGATTGAGATTCAAAGATAGATGGGCAAAAAGTCCCTGAGACTCATCTCCAACTAATTTCTCCTCCACCACCACAAACAAACAAACAAACAAAAAACTGGAAATGGAACTGTGGTTCAAGGGGTACAGCACTAGCCTTGTGTAAAAAAGCTTAGGGACAGTGCCCAGGCCCTGAGTTCAAGCCATAGGACCTACACACACACACACACACACACACACACACACACACACAAATATAGAAATGAAGGTCTGGGAAGGTGGCTCAGTGGTAGAGCGCTTGCCTTGCATGCATGAGGCCCTGGGTTCGATTCCTCAGCACAACATGAGCAGAAAAAGCCAGAAATGGCACTGTGGCTCAAGTAGTAGAGCACTCCCCTTGAGCTGAAGAGCTGAGGGACAGCGCCCAGGCCCAGAATTCAGGCCGCAGGACTGGCAAAAAAAAAAAAAAAAGAATTAGGCATCTTTTGCTGAACCAAAGCTAGTTCTCAAAAAAACTTTCTAAAATCTGATTGCTCTTGGCCATGCTGCTTATTCCTACCATGTATACTTGAATTGAGCCTTTTCTCTGTAGTATGTCAGTAATTTCTTTGAGGCTTTCTGTTTAAGACTCTATTACCCACTTCTCTTCCATACCCCTCTAGTACACACTAGTGAAATGATTTTTTGTTTTTGGTGGCAGTCCTGGGGCTTGAACTCAGTGGCCTGGGAGCTGTCCCTGAGCCTTTATGCTCAAGACTAGCACCCTACTACTTGAGCCACAGTTCTACTTTCCACTTTTTACTGGTTAACTATAGATAACAGTCTTGTGGACTTTCCTGCCCAGGCTAGCTTCTAACTATGATCCTCAGATCTAGGGCTGGGATGTAGCTCAGTGGCAAGGCACTTACATAGCAAGTGCAATGTCCTGGGTTTGATTCCCAGTACCAAAAAAAAAAAAAAAAAAAAAAAAAGAACCTGTCGATCCTCAGATCTTAGCCTCCTGAGTAGTTAGTATTACAGGTGTGAATCACCAATGTCTGGTGAAAAATGCCTTTTCAGCACTAATTACTGAGAAATTTTTCTTGAGGGCTAAATTTCTGGAACAGCAACAACAAAAAGCCATAAGTAACTGAGGGCATTGGAGAATGCTGTTATAAATGGCTTAGCAGAAGAGACAGGAAGAAAGAGTAGAAGACCCAAAAGAAAAAAAAATCATACTCAACACTGCAGGCACTAGTGTATGAGTTTTCCCTTTACATTAAACAACTCTTTAATTGGACACTTTATCCTACAACTAAATTGTGACACTAGCCACCTGGAATGAATGCCAGTTAGGAGACACAGGTTGTGACCTGTACTTCTGGCCAACCAGCTATGTATCAGGGTGTCTTGAGCCCTTCTTGTTCAATAACTTGTTGGAATGACTCACAGAACTCAGGAAAGTCCTTTACTTATGATTACTGGTTTAATATAAAGGATACAGCTCAGGAACAGTCAAATGGAAGAAACACAAAGAGTAAGGTATAGGAATGGGGAGGGGGATGCATGGACCTTCCATGTCATTTCTGGGCAAGTCCTTCTTCCTTCTTCAGAACCTTAATTTATTCACCAAACTGAAAGCTCTCTGAACTATGAAATCCAATGATGAGGGTTTTTATGAAGGCTTTATTATTACATAAATATGGTTGATTAAATTACTAGCAAGGAGTACTTAAATCAATCTTCCCTCCCTCTCTTCTGGAGATCAGAGTGGGCTGAAAGTTCTGATCATTTAATCACAAGATTGGTTTCTCTGAAAGTTCACTACCAAACTCTATGAAGCCATCATAACCCTCATCCCAAATCTAGGCAGGGACTCATCAAAGAAAGCGAACTATAGACCCATTTCTTTGATGAACACTGATGTAAAACTTCTCAACAAAATTTTGGCCAGTCAACTTCAATGCCTCATCAAAACAGTCATACACCATGATCAAACAGGATTCATTTCAAGGACACAAATCTGGTTCAATATATGCAACTCAATTATTTTAATTCATCACATCAACAAGAGCAAGGATAAGAACGACATGATTATCTCAATAGATGCAGAAAAAGCATTCGACAAGATCCAACACCCCTTTATGATGAAAGCTCTGGAAAAACTAGGAATCCATGGAACATTCTTCAACATAATAAATGATGTGTATGATAAACCTACAGCCATCATTATAATGAATGGAGAAAAGCTAAAGCTATTTCCTCTAAATTCAAGAATGAGACAAGGATGTCCACTCTCTCCACTTCTCTTCAATTTAGTATTAGAATGCCTAGCTAGAGCAATAAGACAAGATGCAAACATAAAGGGGATCCAAATAGGGAAAGATGAAATTAAACTCTCCCTTTTTGCAGATGACATGATCTTGTTTTGTTGTTGTTGTTTTGTTTTGTCGGTCATGGGGCTTGAACTCTGGGTTTGGGCGCTATCCCTCAGCTCTTCAGCTTAAGGGGAGCGCTCTACTGCTTGAGCCACAGCACCACTTCCAGTTTTCTAGTGGTTTATTGGAGATAAGAGTCTCACAGACTTTCCTACCTGGGCTGGCTTTAAACCATGATCCTCAGATTTCAGCCTCCTGAATACCTAGGATTACAAGAGTGAGCCACCGGCTCCCAGCTTGATCTTGTATTTAAAGGACCCCCATAGACTCCACTCCCAAGTTACTCAAACTGATCCAAAACATTGGCAAAGTAGCAGGATACAAAATTAACCCTCAAAAATCAATGGTTTTTCTGTATGCCAATAACAAGAAAAACAGGAAAGCAACTCCTTTTGTGAACCTCCTCCCCAAAAAATAAAATACCTAGGAGTTAACTAAAGAAGTGAAGGACCTCTATGATGAAAACTTTAAAATCCTGAAAAAGGAAATTAAAGCAGAGTTAAGCAAGTGGTAAAACCTCCCATGCTCCTGGATTGGGAGGATTAACATCGTGAAAATGGCAATATTGCCAAAGGCTATCTACAAATTCAATGTGATATCTATCAATATCCCAACCTCATTCTTCAAGGAAGTAGAAGCAGCAATCCAAAAATTCATATAGAACAATAAAAGACCCTGAATAGCAAACACAATCCTTGGCAGAAAGAACAAAGCCATAGTAACCAAAACATCTTGGTGCTGGCACAAGAACAGACCTGAGGACCAATAGAATAGAACTGAAAACCCAGAAATGAACCCACAGACCTATAACCACCTAATCTTCAATAAAGGAGCTAAAAAAATAGAATGGAAGAAAGACACACTCTTCAATAAATGGTGCTAGCAAAATTGGTTGGTCACCTGTAGAAAACTAAAGTTATATCCTTATATATCACCTTGCACCAGAATCAACTCCAAAAGGATCAAAGACCTCAAAGTCAAAACAGACACTCTGAAAACATTACAGGAAGCAATAGGAGAAACTCTAAGGTTCCTTGGCACAGGCTGAAATTTTCTTAATAAAGACCCAGAAACACAACAAATCAAAGAAAGGTTGGACAAATGGGATTGCATGAAACTGCAGAGCTTCTGCATGGCAAAGGACATAGCTAGCAAGATCAATAGCCCCTGGATTGGGAAAAGATCTTCACTAGCCATACAATGGACAAGGGTCTCATATCTAAAATATACTTAGAACTCAAAAAATTAAATCCCCTGACAACAAATCCTCAAAGAAACAACCACCCGATTAATAAGTGGGCTAAAGACTTAGAGACTTCTCTAAAGAGGAAATAAGAATGGCCAATAGACACATGAAGAAATAATGCTCAACCTCTCTAGCCATAAAAGAAATGCAAATCAAAACAACATTGAGATTAGAATGCCTATCATCAAGAAATCTAATAACAACAGATGCTGGAGGGGATGTGGCCAAAAGGGAACCCTACTGCATTGTTGGTGGGAATGTAAACTTGTTCA